GAAGAACGCTCTGCAGACCCTGCTACAGAAAGTAGCACGGTGGGTGTGCCGATAGGTGGTGAGAGGAAGATCAGGGTCAATCATTTGAATACATAGAACACGTTTTGATAGGCCGTTAACTATACATTTCAGTGCTGTGTGTGTGGCCTCGCGGCAAACCTCCCACAGCTCGTTGCATTGCTGACCACCCATTCGGTCCTGTTGAGCGGAAACAACTACAAATGCTCTTAGCTCGAATTGCCTTAAAACCTTTTGTAGCAGGTTTGCGCAAATAATAAGCAAATTGAGCTATTAATACTAAGTGAGAGCGGCGAATTCGTGCCTCGCCAGTGGAGTTCACCGGTGGTGCAGTGCCGGAAGGGGGGCTGAATTCAGGTTTCCCGCAGCTGGGTGGAAGTACCGGAACTTTGCCCGCTTCTTACCAGCACTAAGACTTGAACAATATGTATATTTTTTGGTGTTTGATTCTTTTAAATTAATGAATATGACGACACCGCCGGACTTCATTGACAAGTTGTGGAGGGAGGCAGTCGCAGAGGGCGTGCAACCTCTAGACAGGTTCCCTCAGAGTGGGTGGAAGGATTTAACGATGAACTTCTGCGTGTTTATTCCCGAGGATCCAGCACGCCTTTCAACAGACTCTCCTCGGATATTACGAAAAGAGTACCCCGAGTTGTCCTACTGGGCCTTCCTGAGACTCGAGGCAAGCCATCAAGGATTCTGTCCCTGTGCTCAAGACATACAGATGGCTACGATGAATTTCTTTGGTAAACCCACTTAGAACCTTCCCATGAACACGCTGTTTGAACGTAAAGACTCATAAGCGGAACGGTGAAACGTAGATCATTGTCCCTAGATATTGAGACGTTGACGCCAAACTTGTAATGAACACCCGTACTTCCAGAACAGTAGAAGCAGAATCAAGCCTCTCACCAATAACTTAGGGTCTCATCTTCCGGAGATGTGGCCTGCAGGAGCATATTTACGGTTAAAAGCCTTGAATTCTAACCCCTGACACTGAAACTCCCCTTGCGTGCAACCCTAGGTGGAGGAGATGTGATTCAAGTCCTGCGGACCTGACCCGTAACCGAACCTAAACGGTTGACACCGGCTCCGTCTCATTCTTCCGAGTCTATTTTTTCTGTTTTGTTGAGTTTGAGATGAGGGGATTTACGCTCAGTAGGTGCTTGCCGCGTCATATCATCTGTTCGTATTGCTGCAGAAGACACCGACAAAAACCCCTTTATAATTGTCAAGAAGACTCGCCTTGTTATGACCTTAAAGGACTTGAAAGGAATGGTTGCGAAGATTACAAATGACAGTCAGCTGTTTCTGTGCCGCTGTTGCTGTTGTTTTTGCCGATTGTCCGTTGCTTATGTCTCGTTTCTTCTTGGTCGTGGTTGTTTGTGGTTTCCTGTTGTATTGCTTTTCGTTGCCTGTGTATGCTTTTATATGCACATTTTTTGACTGCTGTTGCCGTTGGGATTTTCGTTAGGACCCGCCTCTTGTTTTTCCTTCTTATTGCCTTTGTCGTTTCTGCGCTTCCTTCGTTATTTGTCGTCCTCTTTTTTGTGGCTGCTGTGAATGTGTCGTGGGTTTTCTTTGTTTTTGGTTATTTTCGCCTTTGGAACTGCTGTCTCATTTGGCCCTACGCTTGGAAGGAAGAACGGGTGTCTAGTCAGCTGGGCTGTATCGCTTTATCTCCTCTTTAGTGCACATAATATATATGAGATGCATATAGAAAAGAGCTTGGAGACGGAACACTGCCACTCCAGTCAGGACGGCGAGTCTATGTAGTTCGCGCATGAGAATATGCATTTTTCATCTGTACCCAGTGCGCCCACAGTTATGTACATATTAAAACCCTTGCATGCGTATTTTCATGTTTGGCGTGACTTTGGGTGCGCCCCGTCTCCTCAGCTACAGTGTTCCTCAGTTAGGGCCGTAGGGTGGAAGGACTGTGGCAAGGGGACTAAGGTGTGGTTCTTGAGGTTGTTTTGCGGATTGTCTCTGAAGAGAAATGCAGAGCTGTCGCTATTGATGTGGAGCACCATTCTTTGTCGAGTTATCGGGGGTTTACATCTCTTATTCAGCTGGGTACGCATGAGGAAATATTCTTGGTTGACCCGTTGAGCCTGTTTCCGCACCTACACCTTCTGAACGTCATAACTACAAACCCTGCTATTGTCAAGGTTTTGCACAACGGCGAAAA